CATTTTAATTTTTTTTCAGCTTGAAATGGAAAACATTAAGTCCGTATTGCAAAAATTAGTTCATGCTTTTTTGCTTTTTTTTTTTTTTTTTCCCTGCTGAGGTTCTGGATTTTTGGGGTTTTTCCATTTGCAACAGCAAAAATTCCTGTTTCCCTCACCTTTCTGTGGACACCAGGATCTGCCTCGGCTTATCTCCCATCTCCTGAGGGATTTTTGTCCTTGGGTTTGCAACGTGCTCGACCCCTCTCGCTGAGATCGCGCGTACCCGTGGGGCTGCACGTTGGGACAGGCTTCAGGTAGTGTCGGTAGGGTGAGACGCTCTTGCTTCTGCTCTGGGAACGACGGTGGGAGGCAGAGAAATGGCTGGAGCAAGAGGAATAGTAAGGGAGGGATTGAAGCAGGCAGCAAAGTGTCCTGCCGTGCTCCAGCTCTGAGCCAGTCGCCAAACCCCGTTGCACTTCGCGTGGCTGCCAGCACTCGGCGTAGGCTTGTTAGCAAGCAAAGGATTTCTCTTAACGCAGCAACCAACCCCGAGTAAATTGTTTTCTTGGGCGCCGTTGCAGCACACGGGGCAGTTGTATTTAATCATCTGCAACCATAAATATTGGAGAGAGCAACATCCATGTGCTTGGCTTTTGGAAAGACCTCCTATGTCGGTAGCTGCGTGGGGGAATTTTTAGGCTTCCTTGTTATCCCCAGATAACCGATCGCAGGGATAATTAACATAATTGGCATTTTTCCTTGAAATGACTGCTTTTTCATCTTTCCCAACAGCTTTTCTGCAGGAGCTGGTAGAGCGTGATAACTGCAAGTTTGAGGAGTGGTGCAATGAAATGGCCGAGATGCGCAAACAGAGCGTGGCCAGAGGCAAAATCAAACACGAAGAGGTGAAGGAGCTCTACAAAAAGTTACCCGCTGAAGCTGGTCTGTAAGATATTGTGGTAGTATTTTGTCGTAGACCGTTGCTAAGATTAGTAATGTTTTGTAACTAACCCACAACTCGCTTCTGTGGCCTGAACGCTTCGCTAGAAGGCATTAGCTGCAGCCTGCTCAGAAGGGGAGAGTGATCGCTGTCTGTTGTTGCTGTGTGCATGCTTACGATTTGCTTTCCCTCTCTTGTTTTTCTGCCTTAACCTATTTTTCTCCTTTTTTTTTTTTTTTTTTTTTTTTTTTCTCATTATAATGGCCTCTGGTGTCGCTAATTCCCTCTTGCTCCTTCCCCATCAGTCAGTCTCCTGTGTGCTTCCATGCATCGTGACTGTTTTCTTCTGCCCGGTGAGCAGCTCATCTCGTTAGCGTTTAGTAGCATTGAGGCAGAATAACTGGCCGGTCTCAAATTGCCAACTCTCGTCAAGTTTTGGAGCTGTTGATCCAAATTAATCAGCAGGTAACAGGGTACGAGAACACCTGGCCTCCAGCAGGAAATTATTTGATTCATCCCTGCCAGTGCTTCAAAGCCCTGTGCCTAAGCTTCATAGTCCATCCGATGAGTGACTGGGGCTAATCCTTTCCTACTATTCCTTGTGTTGTGTCACCTTAGCATAAGGATTTTTATTCCCCTCACTTGTTTCTCTCCCCTCTCCCTCAAAACAAGTGGAAGGGCACTTGCTCTGTCCATCCAGTGCGGGGAATTTCTCTCCGCTATGCGCAACTCCTGAAAACTTCAGGACATTTGTAATTAAAGACTTCAAAATGCGTTTAATTGTGTAGCCTGTTAGACCACTTGACTTTTAGCTTTTAATATTCATTGCTCAACGCTCAGAACCAGCAGTGAGACTCAAGCAGACGAACAGCAGAGTCCTCGGCTCCCATAAACGTCTGCCTCTTCAGTTTACGAACCCAGGTTTGCAGACAACGGGCGCTTAGCTCCTGAACAGGAGGGTGTCGCAGCTCATCTTGCCAAGTCCCCGCAAGCCTGAGTGGTGTTAAAATGTCACCAGTAAATCAGCCTTGTGGTGGAGGTATGAATCTGCTGTGAGTCACCGTTAAAAAGGAGCAGCGAGCACAACTCCGGTGTGTTTTCTCTTCCCCTTAGTCGAAATGGAACCGTTTGCTCTTGGCATTTCTAACATGACAAGAGGAATATATCTTGAAAAGATGTTTTTTACAAGTGCAGGTAAAGCTCCTCTGCCCCAATTTGAAGATGGCAGGGCCTGAAGCAGTGCCCTGAGTGGTGCCCGCTCTCTGCTGCTGGGCATGTCCTGGGCACAGCGGCTTCCTAGCACAGCTGGAGGCAGCCCATACCCCAGAGCTGCGCGGGGTCCGATCCTGCGGGAGCTTGGGACTCTCTGCAGCTGTGCAGACACGTTTGCTGCCAGCTTTGTGTAGCTTGCCCCAGAAAAACGTACTTTCCGGGGGAGGCAGCTCTCATCCCAAACTAGCAAACCATTTCTGACAGCCTTGCAATTCTCTGGAGGTCATGGCTGTGTATCTCTGACGGCGTTGCGTAAGACGAAAATACTGCTGATTTATCCTGCAGAAGACCGAGGGTTTGAAGCCAGGTTTCACAAAGATCCAGTGCAAGCTGGAAGACAAAGTATTTTCCTGTAGCTTCTCTGTCGCTCCTTTGTATGAAAGGTTAAGGCTTTGCGTTCGTTTGATAAACATAACTAATGGCTATGTTTCCCCTCCGTTTCAGAGCTGCCCTCCTTGTGTCAGTGCAACATGGGTTTAATTTCCTCCTAATTCCCCACTCATCTTGCCGAAGGGTTTAAGCATCAATACTGGGTCTCTGTATCAAGGTCCAGGGGTTTCACCCAAAGCTGTTCCACTGCTCGTACAGACGTTGACCCACTCCTGAACCTTGTCTTTGCATGAGGTGTTTCTCCTTTAGCAAACAAGGGCAAGCCTGCTGCTCGGTTTCAAAAAAAATCATGCTAAAAAATTTGAGCAACTTTGTTTGCACTGTGAATATCTTAAAAAAAAAAAAAAAAAAAAAAAAAAAAAAAAAAATCTTTAAAACGTGTGAGTGTTCTCGCTCAGAGCAGCCCAGAACAACACTGAAACTGTGGGCACTGAAGGGACAGGGCGAACATTGACCTCGTCTCTTTTCTGTTCTTGCCTTTTAATTTTCAGTTTAACCCCGATGAGCTCGCTCT